GCTGCGTCCCCCCGCCCCCCGGGAGGGCCCAGCGCCCCGTGGCTCTGCCCCCGGCCCTTGGGGGGGTCCCTGGCCAGGCAGTGCCCGCTTCAAGCCCTGCTCTGCTCCTAGCTTGCTCGCAGAGGCCGAGGGAGAGGATGCCGTTGCCACGCAATGCCAAGATGCTGAGCACTAAGCAGCCCCGAGCAGGCAAGGTGGGCCCTGCTGTGGAGAATGCCAACCCCGAGAAGGTGAGTCCTGAGCCAGGCAAGGGGTGTGGGGGGCTTCTGTGGGGCAGCTGGCCCCCCGTCTTCTAATAGCCTCTGTTGCAGGAGGAGAGCTGTCAGGCCAAGAGGTCTCCATCCTCACCCCAGGGTGGGCCCAAGAAGAGGTCGGCGTTTGGGGACATCACCAACGTGAGTGCTTTTGTGAGAGTGGGGGCTTCAGTGCCGCCTGTGACACCGCTCCCCCCCCCCCCGTGGGAGTGGGGCTGGGTATCCTCTCCAGCATGCAGAGCAGGGGGTCTCCCATGCCCTGTCAGCAGGAGGAGAGGTCTCCCTTCAGGGCACGACTCACTTCCCTCTGCACGCCCCTCTGTATACCCCCATTTTCCCCCAAACAGGCTCACAAGAACCAGGTGGTGGCAGGCAAGAAGGAGGCTGTGAAAGTGGCTCCACACAAGGCTCAGAGGGCCCATCCTGCCCTAGGGGTGGCCAAGAACAATGAGATCAACCTCAAAAAGTGGGTAGCCGGGGGAGATGGGAATAGGACTGGGGCAGGGGGGACACTGCAAGGCCAGCATCTGCAAACCTGTCCCATTGGGAAGAACACGCAGTGATGCAGGCTTCCTTTGGGTGATAGAGACCATAAGCCAGATGGGGAGGGCAGACAGTAGATAAAATGGTCTCAAGTTGCAGCAGGGGGGGGTCTAGGTTGGGTGTTAAGAAAAATTTCTTCACCAAAAGAGTTATCAAGCATTGGAACAGGCTGCCCAGGGAAGTGGTGGAATCACCATCCCTGGAGGTATTTAAGATGTGTAGATGTGGTGCTTAGGGGCATGGTTTAGTGGTGGACTTGGCAGCATTAGGCTTACAGCTGGACTTAAAGGTGTTTTCCAACATAAATGATTCTCAGAGTCTCTGTGGGGTTATTTCAGGGGTGGTTTAGCCCCTTCCTGAAGCAGCAAGGGCTCAGAGAACCTCTTTCAGCCAGGAGATGTAGTCTCCTCTCACCAACAATTTACGCTCTTGTCCTGTCCAGGTCAATGAAGAAAACTCCCCCAAAAAAGGCTCCTGCAGAGCCCAAGGAGGATCCTGTGCCAGAGCAGCCAGTGCCTGCGCAGGGACCGAAGCCGTCCGAGGGGAGGGCAGG